TAAAAACTTATTTAGGTCACAAGTTAAAATTTTAAGTGTGGTATTCTAACAATTTTTCTTATTCTCTTAATAGAAATCCTAATTTCGCTACTTTATTGTGAAATATATTAGTATTGAACAGCCCAGAAAGTCCTTATGATTACAGAAATAAATGGACCCGTCATTTTGTTCGTACCTACTTACCTTAGGTTTCAACTGAATAATCAGAGCTTAATTAAGTCATATTTGCATCGGATAAAATCACTTGGAGTTAAGAGGAAAAAGCTTCTCTATCAAGAGTTCTCACTTTGGTACTAGAATTCAAGATTTTGATTAATGGCAATAGGATTTGGGCAAGTTATACATGTAGCCGATTGGCCAAAAATAATTACATTTGATAGTCAAATATAAAATAAACATACACTAATTATATATATATATATATATATATATATATATATATATATATATATATATATATATATATATATATATATATATATTATGGACAATTATTTTTTGATATAACTTATAGAAGAATTTCCCAACATACTTTTGGTGATTCTTGTGAATTTTTACTGACATTGAGTAGAAATGTGGTTACTGAGGTGGTGGGGTATGGTGTTAAATTATGGTTGTACAAATAATATTAAAAAGTATTGCACGGATGGCTGAATCAGACAGGTAGATATTTTAATTGTAGCTTTGTAGGATTCTTTTTGGCTTTATACATCTCACCACAAATTTATTGGGTCTGGCAATTTCTAACTTTTGTAGTTTTCCTTTTCATATTTCTCTTACACATTTATATTTGGTGGGATGCAGTAATTCTGAAAAAATAACAAAGAAAATAAAATGTTGAAACTTATGGGTTATGGAACAGTTATTTTACTTTGTGACTATATGATAAAAGCATTTTGTCACCACGTTAGATTTTATAATAACTTGCTGATAAAAAAGTACATGTTAAATAATTGAAGATTTTTAGATAAAATCATAATTTACTTTAAATATTCATCAAACAAGTCTTTCAATCTTTGACCAGTATTTCAAATAATGAAGTTCAATATTTTCAGATACAATTTTAGTATTTACAAAAACTATAAGTATTATGGTCAATCTGCCTGTAAAAATACACTGAATATATTGTTATTGTAAGTATTTATGATCAAACGAGAAAAAAATACAATAATTTTTGAGTATTTTTTGTGGTATGTGATTCTCTAGACCAAGTAGTTATTATTTAACAAAAGTTTCTTTTTATAATTTTTTAACCTTTTGGTATCTGAAAGTGTACTAATACAATTAATCCAAATTCGTGTTGGATAGATTCACTAATAGAATGAAGCGTTTCTACGATATTTCTTTTTAAAGCTCAAACTCGTAATATCAAGTTAAAAGTAGCGGTATCTCAATCATCTCACGATACACTTTGTATTATTAAACAAAAGTTTGCATTAAAGAGAATGATTTTAGCTGAGTAATACACTTTTCAATGTAATTGCCAATCATATCTTTGATAGTGTAATACTCGTGCCTTTGTCTAATACACAAGTAAATGTGCCATCATTTAAATACCTAATTATATATTCACCAAACTCATACCATAAGTCTAATTCAACCAATTGCAAATAGAGAACCATTATCCAACCAACTTTCTTAATTCTCGTCGTTTTCATATAACTATAAGTAACGACTTGATATTGAATTGAAACAACTTCCTCTCATTAATTTCCTTTTCGTTAAAGGAAGTTGGTTTTTGGTCCAGTTCTGCAATTAAACTACTTTAAGCAACCCGAATTAATATATTATTTGACATTCAATGCAATCTAGCCCACATACTTTGACAATTAAGGTAATAAAAATTAGTACATCTTATTAAATCACAATGATCCTAGAGATCTTGGGTAGTTGTTCTTTTCATTTATATTTTTCCTTATTTTCTCTTGGGGTGTAACTATTGTTTTGATTAAAGACATGAATTGACACTCCAACTTCCACACTATTTGAAAATTCCGGGAAACGTAAAAAAAAATAGTATTTAAAAATTAGAATTGTGTTTAGATATGAATACAATTTGGAAATGTTTTTGAATTTTCGTGAGTAATTTAAAGTGAAAATTTTAAAAAATGACTTTTTGAAGTTTTTCAAATTTTCGAAAATTCTAAAATTCAACTTCAAGTGAAATTTGAATCATGGACAAACACTAATTTTGAAAAGAAAAACAGTGATTTTTTTTCAAAGAAAGGTGAAAAAAATTCTTATGGCCAAACGGGCCCTAGGTACTGTAAGGGGTCGTTTTGTATGCAGACCAAATTATCTCGAGATTATAGTCCTAGTTTTATAATTCTTTAACCAACTTATCCCACTTGAAAAGTGGGATAATATAATTCCAAGTTTGATTAGACGAGGTGGGATATCCAGGATTAAGTCTCGGATTAAACTTATACTATGTTTGATTGACGTCAACCAAACACAATATAAATATAATCTCACACATGATTAATTTATACCGTCAACCAAACACATTATAAATATAATTTCACACTTAATCTCACCTTATCATACATTATCCCGCGTGCCAAAAAAAAAAATTGATCTGCCTAAACTTAATAGTTAAAAGTTAACACTGCTAATAAAAAGTAAAAGATGCCCAAATTCTCAACGAATTACTTAGCAGAAATATAAAAAGGGAAATTCTCAAATTTACCACCGTAGGTTGGAGACCAACTTCTCTAAAGGCACATGCAAGTCAGTACTTCTATATACATAAAATGTCAGTAGAATAATTTAGCACTATACAAGAAAACAGAAAGTCAACTAAGATTTCAGAAATCCTTGTGGCACTTATGAAAATGCTTGAACCCAAGAGGACAAGAAAAGAGGGTAACAAGTCAATCAAAGAATCATCCAATGAAAAGATGTTAAATAGCTCTAGACACTAGGAAAGCAATCAATTCAGAATATGACCTATAATAATATACAATATTTTCAGTAGGATGGAAGAGGAGGGCGTAACCAATAAAGTTGTTATGTAATCACGAGGTCACAAGGTCAAATCTTGCAAATACCCTCTTGCAAAAAAGCAAGGTAAAATTGTGAACAATAGACCCTTATAATTCGGTCTTTCCCTAGGTTCCGCGTATAATAGGATCTTAGTACACCATGCGACCCGGAAATTACGGGTTCGAGTCGTAGAAATAGCCTCTTGCAAACAACCTCTTGGAAGGAAAGTCTTGGTGTAACTGATAAAACTGTTGTCATATGACCAAGAGGACCAGGAGGTCGCGAGTTCGAGTAGTGGAGACATCTTTCAAAAATGTAAGGTAAAACTGTATACAATAAACCCTTGTGATCCGACCTTTCCCCAAACCCCGCGTATAGCAGGAGCTTAATACACCATGTGACCAGGAGATCACGGGTTCGAGCCGTAAAAATAGTCTTTTACAAAAATGCAAAATAAGACAGCTTACAATAGATCATTGTGATTCGACACTTCTGCGGACCTCTCGCATAGTGAAAACTTTGTGCTGCGAGCTGCCTTTTTTTATACGGAAAAGGGCCATATTGATCCCTGTACTCTTTAAAAATAGTTATATTTGTCCTTCGTTATACTTTTTGATATATTTATCCTTACCATTATACTTTAGGATCATATTTGTCCCTGTACTCTTCAAAGAGGGTTACATTTGTCCTTCGTCATACTTTTTAACATATTTATCCTTACACTTATACTTTAGGATCATATTTGTCCCTGTACTCTTCAAAGAGGGTTACATTTGTCCTTCGTCATACTTTTTAACATATTTATCCTTACACTTATACTTTAGGATCATATTTGTCCTTCATCCATTAAATCCTCATGTCCCACCTTTCTTTTCCTACATGGTGCCTATGTGGATTTCTTTTTCCTCCAATTTAAATATGGTCAACTATTTAAGATAATTTAATTAACTATTAACCATAAACCATAAACCATAATTTGGTTGTCTGCACTTATTTGTGTCTTTGGGCAGCCAATATATAAAATATAGTGGCTTCATTCTGATAATTCACATTACTCTAATATTATTCGTCATTGTAGGTTTATGTTAAACCAGGTCGAAGATAAGGGGTGGAGATAGAGTATTAGGTATGATTTGAATGAACTCTATAGCTTTTGTTTATATTTGTGTTCTATTAGGAAATACATTAAATATGTATAAATATTTAATTACGAACTTAATAACTAAAATGAGCTATGAGCAAGATCAGAACCTATAAACTTTAAATCATGACTCTGCCATCCAAAAAGTTGAATTATTTAGATATACTTTTTTAAATATGTAATTTTATTTTATTTTTTAAAAACATGAAAATTATATACCCAAATCACAAAAAAAACTAGATGTTTTGACCCTTGTAATCGAATTCTTTCATATAAAATGAGAGGAGGGAGCAATATTTTCTTTTCGAGAAAAAATATGTTTGAGGAAACAATCCTAGACAATATTAGGCTTCTGGCAGTGCTCTATTTTAAGCACGGACCTTTGTCATTAATTCCATTGTTGTGCAACTTCTCGTAATTTAATTTGGTTACTGCAATAATTGTAAGTTGTATCAGATTAGTGATTTTGAGTTCAAAGTTCTTGTTTGCCAATATGTTGCCGCTGCTATCCGAAAAATATGGAGCTGAAAAAGAACATTATCTTAAATAGGTGACCATATTTAAATTGGATGGGCGGATTAAATTATCTTAAATAGTTGACCATATTTAAATTGGAGGAAAAAGAAATCCACATAGGCACCATGTAGGAAAAGAAAGGTGGGATATGAGAATTTAATGGACGAGGGACAAATATGATCCTAAAGTATAAGTGTAAGAATAAATATATCAAAAAGTATGATGAAGGACAAATGTAACCCTCTTTGAAGAGTACAAGGACAAATATGATCCTAAAATATAATGGTAAGGATAAATATATCAAAAAAATATAACGATGGACAAATATAACCATTTTTAAAGAGTACAAGAATAAATATGACCCTTTTCCGTTTTTTATATTTCAATATTAGGATGAAAAAACCTCAAAAACAGTGCTTACACAGTTCCACTACAGTAATACTCATAGAAATATACATCTTTTCAAAGTTTTTTCCTTTCCCTTTTTTGTCCCCCCTCTATGATGTTACAAAGATGGCCCACAGATTTTAGAAACTAAAGTAAACAGATGATTGAACTATCAATAAATCTTTTTCACTTGGTACAAGCCAACAGTTTATGTTTGTGAACCAATCATATGTTACTTTAATACTTTAGGTTCATTGATCTTTTCATCCCAACTATTGATTTTCTTGATTCAGGTCCTATGTTCTTCTCTTGATCCCCACCACCACTGATCTCATCTTCCATTTTGCCATCAGTCTCTTCATCTGGAAAAACATGTCAAGAATAATAAGAAACAGAAATCATTAACAAAACTTTTATGAGCAGGAAAACAAAATTTTAAGGGAAGACGACATTGTATAGCCGCTCTCAAAATAATAGCGAAAATGTGTGTGTGTATATATATATATGTGTGTGTGTGTGTGTTATATACAAAAAATATACAAATTTTATATACTTTTGCGACTACCAGATATAAATAGTTTTGGTCGGGGGCTAAAAGTGATCTTTGCCCAAATTTTGAAAGGGAAAAAAGTGATTCTTGTATATTGTTGCTAAGCCAAAGCATAGAATTTTTTGTTCCTTGCTTTTCCGCTTTAGGGTTGAGAGTCGACCTCAACTAATTTGAGATTGAGACATAGTTGTCGGTATTGTTGTTATCTCTACATTTGAGGAAGGAGGATTGCATCTATGTTTTAATGGTGACACATCCAAGAAAACTATTTGATAGCATTAATCAGAAGGGATATTTAGAAGGGATATTTAACTGAATTAAAGTTATCTTCTTGGAATGGTAAGAGTGAAACTGGACAAAAAACGCCTTCTTAATTTTCTAAAATGACAAATTTATTGGAATATTTTTTCTTTTGGAGGTAGAAAGGGTCGGAAGGAATAGTATTCATCTAGATTTAAGATGGGGCACTTCTTAATGCTTAATAGACTTAGGCACGGCGAGAAGTAGTGATACCTGAAGCACTACCTAGAGAAAATTCAGTAAGACGCCGGACACAATCCTTGAGCGCCTGGAGCTCAGCTTCTTTCTCATGGAGTTTGGAATGAGTTTGGTGCAGCTCAGATGCCAGCTCCACAATCTGGCTTTCTTGTTGTTCAATTAGTAAATGACACAGCTTTTGATCCAGTTCCGATGGCAATACTCCACTGAATTGATAAGTTTCCGCATTGTGGTCATTGGCTAAGTTAAAGTTTTTCTCCAGAAATTCATCCTGTACAGCAAAAATCAACAGTTACAAATGAAAATTAGGTAATAAAGCGGAAATAGGTGCCTTAAGTTGGCAGGGAGTGTATTGTCTTTAATCTGTTGTCGCCATTTATCTGAACTCACCAAAAACTCAAAAGGACTACACACGAATACTCCTAATGATATAGGAAACGTACCAGCATTGCCATATACAGTTGCAATTAAATGCAAATAAGATATGTAGGCCATTATACGAATGATAAATCAACTTTAGATGTGTGACAGAAAAAATCCCATTTGATTTGCTGCAGTAGTTGCATGGATTAATCATAGGCCATGAGGGGATGTCCAACTATTTCTAGGTAGAAAATGGATGTATTAGTTTTGTCATTTAAGTCCAAACAACCTAACCTAAGAATAATTTCTAATTATTGTTTGCGCCTATGTGACTCTATTTTATTAAAATTCATATCTCCTCTTAACAAGAATAAGATAATTAATTGAATGTTCATTTGGATTAACCAATTGCAAAGTTGGACCAGGGAAAATGATAACTTGGCACCAGTACCATATAAAATTGATCATAGAAAATAATAGTAAACTCATCTATTGTTACACATATAGGTTATAGCAGTAGGAATTTCCAATGACACCTCCTTGAAAATGGTTTCTAAAAAGGATAGATATTAACAATGAGACTAAGGCCTAACTGTTTGCACTTGATGGAGGTTTGAATCAAAATAGTTCAGACCTCAGACCATTTAGTGCACTTTGGTTTTTCTTTAAGATTTAACCACTTAATAAGTCTAAATGACTCAGATCTTTCGAACAGAGTCTTAATATTATTAAGAGCCTATCCAAAGATTTTTGCAAATGATTTTTCACCACCGCTCTGTCTACAACCACCACTATCAGCCACCTCCACCACCGCTGCAACTGCCAACGGTGTTGCCAACTACCAACCACCAAGACCAGTCACTGTCACATCAATTATCTCCACCATTAATACTATCTCCCCTACCAACCACCACAACACCACCAACATTGCCAACCACTACCACCAACCACCTCCCCCATTGCACAACCATTGCCAGTTTGCCACTACACTGCCACTGACCAGCCACCAACTTACAACCTAATATTTTGTGGATATAAAATTTAAATTATTTTATTTGAATTTTATATTTAGGAGTAATAATTTTTAATAATAAATAAATTATAAACATTATGATGTTGAGAAAACAAACAGTTCTAATCATTCAGTAATCAAATCTAAAGACAAAATCTTAATATTCAAATGTGAATTTAGATTCAGACATCTGAATGTTTTACTTAATCTTAAAAAAAGCAAACGGCTCATAAGTTACTTGATAAGTACAAAATATGGAGTACTCCTTTTGTATCAGTTTATCTGCCCCTATAACTATTTGGTGAGTCAAAATTACTCCCTTTGACTATGATTTTTCAAACATTTTTAAAAAAAATATGGAAATGAAATGTGACTTAGAATAATTTCTGAATATGACAAATTATATTCAAGAAATTAAAGAATAGCTGGCCTATTTCACACCGAAAATTAGACATTTCAACCATCTTACCCCAAACTCCATCACTCTTTCTGGATTGAGGGAGTAGTGTCCTTTTGCAAATAACAATTTAAATCACTTACATCCAGATGGAGCTTCAAAGATTTTTAGTAAAATTTGCTTCGAATGGACCCAACGAAAATGTACTCATTCACAAATATAGGTAGAAAATATTAAAACGGTTGAAAACTACGAAATTGTAGATTGAAAACACATAGAGAGGTTGAGTGGAGAGGACAAGAAGGAAACACTTATTTACTCTCCCGACAACGAAGAAAGAACAACAAATCAATATGGATTGAGAAAATACGAAGGTTAGACAAGACCATGTAGAGGAAATTTATTTCACATTGAACACACCTTACAAGGATCTCTTCCTCCACCCAAATCTGTACCTTCAGTAGCACACCATGGAAGCTTTTGTAATTCAGACTCAAGCTCTGCTTCCAGCTGATCCATTTCCATAACCTCAGGTTGCGGCTCTTCTGTAACGACACTGCTTGCACATTCACCTTCCTCAGCCACCTGGTGATCTACTGCTCTAAAAATATTCCTGTTTTCGGTGCCACTCTCCGGAAAAGCACGTATCGTGCATTCTCCATCATTCTTTTCATTTGTTTCAGCTTTATTTTTCGAAGCACGCAGGTCATGTGCAACTTTTCTCCTAGAAAGTTCGGCTTTTAATTCTTCTACAGCTTTTGCAGTTTCATTCATGGTAGAATTGAGCCTATTGATCTCAGATTTCCCAGCTGACATCATGCACACCATTCCAATTCCTAGTCCGTAACCGAAAAAGGAATTACCTGGAAACATAAAAACATATTAAGCAAAGGAATTAGGTTCGGCTACTTGGGGCAACTTAATATTAGAGAAGACTATTCACACAAACAAGACTATCAAAATAACAGGCACAAATGGCAAATTAGAAATAAACAGGTAGAACAAAATATTCAGTCACATCTTCGAGTTCGACCAATATGATAGGAGTTTGGTCGAGCCATGAGACGACACCAACCAACTAGAGAAAGTAAATATGATAGGAGTTTGGTCGAGCCATGTGACGACACCAACCAACTAGAGAAAGTAAACACAGTGACAGAAGACAGTATACCCAACTAGCAAAACAGCATCAGCATTGGGAGCATTGATCCAAATTTTATCTCAAAGATTGATGATGTCCTCAAATAGCATGACTAGATCAGACAGGTTAAGCTATACAATGCACCAAATCAGAAATAGAAATTAATCATGAAAAATTGGGAATGAACAAGCAACTTATAGCATAGAGTTATTGTTGAGGGACTAAATAAAATAAGAACCAATAATATAGAGTTTTTTTAACCCATATTATAGGCAAAAGTTAAAATAAAAGGTTATATGAAAATTTGTAACTAATTTGATCAATACAAGTTGAAACATTGCAATGCTTGTAGCGATATGGTTTTGCTCACAATATGAAAGCGCTAAAATTTTCGGAATTTTTAACTTATTGAGATCCGGTATCTTACTGATTATCTCCACAATCAGGTTAAAAATTGTTTTGACTCTTTGTTTTAGCAGCAGTTGATCAGATACAAGCGGAGCCATTTGACCACGAAAAAGGTGTTCCATTAATGTAGCAAAATGCAGATTATCATCATCTCAACTGCTGGTACTACTGGTCAACCTCACTACAGAAGAGGACCTCAAAAACCCCTTCTCGACTCATTCAAGAAAAAGAAAGACAGAGTAGATCAATATTGGAAAGCAGACCACATAGCTAACGAATATGAGCTAGGCAGTGACCAGTGCAGATACTCCGATGTCCCTTTATTTGAAGAATTTAATACATTCCGAACATGGGGAAGACATTACCACGATCTAGTAGAGTTATGCTAAACAATGTACAAAAGTAACTCTGCCCTCTACAATTTTATAACTTCTTTGACAGATTTCTGCCCAAAGGAAATGATCCCATTACCTTGTACTAGTGGGAAATAGCTAGGTGGATTTAGTCAAGGTACGCACAAGCTGCCCCAATCATAAAAACAATGATACCATTACTTGGAATTACCAAGTTCTATGCATCAAACTCCAATATTCTCTTAAGCAGACTTTGAACATAAGAGGATTTGACCGTGATGATTCCAAATTGAGTTGTTCTACTTACACTAGATAACTGGTAAGGTAAAGAGTTAAGACAAATATGAACCAGTGCATTATAACTTGTGAGCCATTGGTATTTCTATGAACAAGGAAGCCAAAGTAATGGATACTACAACTACAACAACAACAATAAATAACCCAGTATAATCCCACAAGTGGTGTCCGGGGAGGGTAGTGTGTACGCAGACCTTATTCTTACTTAGAAAGTAGAGAAGATGTTTCCGATATACAAAGTAATGGATTCTAGTTAACTAAAAACGAGAAAATGTAATGGACAATAGAAAATCTAAACACAATCCTACTAAAGCATGATTGCAGAAAACACCACCTATTGATCCTAACCCAAAATAAAAGACAAATTTTTAATGTAAAGAAGATGTTTTTAGGACAATACATACCTTTGGAAGCACAAGAATCACATTTCCCTGAAGGAACCTTATTAGTTCTCCTCTTCTTTAAACAAACATAAAATCTCTTCCCATTCCCATTTCCACTCTTCCTCTTATCCAATCTAAACAATTCCTTTTCACCACCCCTTACATTTCCACATTTTTTTCCTAACTTCCCACCATTATTTCTCTTACACTCCATTGCATTCCCATTGCTCTTTCTAGAACCTTCCACATTTTTCTTCCTCAAATTCCTAGACCCCAATTCAGAACCAGAAGCACTAGAAAACCTAAAAATTGATCCATCAGAAAACCCCTCACTGTGTTCTTGAATGCTGCAGCCAAGATTACATGCAAAGCTTGAATCTTTATGCTGAAAAGAGGCCTTAAACCCTTCTTCTGGGTCATTGGGTTGATCACATTTACTGTTAATTTCATGATTACTCGTAAAGCTTGAATCTTTATCACAATTTATGTTAGTTTCAGTGAAACCAGAAGTGGGTTCAGTAGCATTTTGGTTAAAGATTTTCTTGGCTAGAAAACCAGATCCTGCTGCTGCTGCAACTACCAAAGCTGGCCACATTGAGTGATTTTTATTTCAAGATTCTAACTTAGGGTTTAAAATTTGAACGAGATCCCATTCAAAAATTGCTAATTTGCTAGGCAGTAAATGTTGTTGCACTGACAATTTCTATGAAAGTGACAAGCTTTGAATATTGTGTGTGCAATGTGGGGAGAGTGAGTCAGAGAGAAAAGAGAACTTTTCGGCTCGGTGTTAATACGTGTCTTTTCATCTATAAGTTTGTTCACGTGCTTCCCGCTTTTTGATAAATTTCAATTTTGTGTTTGGGTGTTTCTCTCCCCTTTGTTGGTCTTTTAGAAGCAGGGGCTTAGAGATATTGGGCCAATTTATGGTACGATAACCTAACCCAGTAAATGGCATTAAAAAGCACAACTTATTCTTACGGATATTTGCATCTATACCCGCTTTTTAGGTTACATTTTAACTTGTGTTCGCTTTGCAAAAAAATTACAAACGTACCCATTTTTTCGCGTAACTTCAGCATACGGGACTGAAGTAGCAAAGACAATCACGCAAAATTTCAGCATTCTAGTAGACCGACTTGAAGTAGCAAGTGTGTTGAACCAAGTGTAGGGAAAGGGCACGGTTAGCCACTAATAACATATGTATTTACTTTTAAGCCACTATTTAAAATGTTTTTAGTCTTTAGCCACTGCTTTAATAAACTTTAACTATCCGGACGAAAATACCCTTCTGTTCATGTCATTAACTTTTGAACTTAACTTCAGGACTACATGTCCTTAACTTTTGAACTTGTAACTCTAAGTTCAGGACTTCAGGACTACATGTCCTTAACTTTTAAACTTGTAACTTAGTTCAGGACTAAGTATCCTTAACTTTTGAACTTCGAACTCAAACTTCAGGACCAAGTATCCTTAACTTTTGTACTTGTAAGTCAAAGTTAAGGACCTATTATCCTTAACTTTTGATCTTGTAACTGTAAGTTAAGGACTGCATGTCCTTAACTTTTGTACTTGTTAGTCTAAGTTCAAGACAAAGTGTCCTTAACTTTTGAACTTGTAAGTCTAAGTTCAGGAGCTATTGTCCTTAACTTTTGAACTTCGGACTCAAACTTCAAGACCAAGTGTCCTTAACTTTTGAACTTGTAACTGTAAGTTAAGGACTGTCTGTCCTTAACTTTTGAACTTGTAACTGTAAGTTAAGGACTGTCTGTCCTTAACTTTTGAACTTGTAAGTGTAAGTTAAGAACTACCTTTCCTTAACTTTTGAACTTGTAATTCTAAGTTCAGGACTACACATCCTTAACTTTTGAACTTATATGTAAGATTATCATGTTCAAGATTCCTGGTATGAATTAAAGTTTATGCTTACATGTGGTATCAAGAGCCTTGATTGTTTGAACCGTTAATCTTTGTTTACTCGTATAGTATGAACGAAATCACTGTGGCTTTGATTGAAAAAAAATTCTCTTCATCAAATCTGCAAGAACATTAATATTCATGTTTTCTCTTTTCTCCAAATTTAGAGCCTTTGTCTGTGTCATATTATTTATATTAGTTGATGTTGTTGATGATACAACGAAAGAATAGTAGCTACTAAAAAATTAAAATAATAATTTTAGAGCTTATTTCTCCCAAACTGTTTTGACATAATAGGGACGCTTTAGCCTGCGTACAACGTAAGTATGTAATAGGTTTGGGAAGAAAAGCAATGGAAGAAAGGGTAAAAATGTCTTCTCATATTAATTTTAATAGAGTAGTGGCTATTTTTGCTCAACATTAGAATTATTGGATAAACAATAAATACCACCTTAAATAGTGGCTACCCCACGCCATTTCTACCCAAGTGTGCTGAAGTTTTTGCTTGTAATTGCTGAACTTAAGCATAGTAGCTGAAATTTTGTTCTCTATTTGCTGAAGTTTTTGTTTGTAATTGTTGAACTTAAGCATAGTAGCTGAAGTTTTGTTCTCTATTTGCTGAAGTTTTTGTTTGTAATTACAATAAATAAGCTAAAGTTTTTTTGGCTTAGATTCATTAGTTTTGTCAATAAACTTTTTCAAAAACTTCAACAGAAGATGTTGAAGTTATTTAGTTCATTTATATAAACTTCAGCACTAAATAAGCTGAAGTTTTTTTGTCCTGGATAAGTTTTTTCAAAAATTTCAGCAGAAGATGCTGAAGTTATTTAGTTCATTTCTAAAAACTTCAGCACTAAATAAGCTGAAGTTTTTTTGTCCTGGATAAGTTTTTTCAAAAATTTCAGCAGAAGATGCTGAAGTTATTTAGTTCATTTCTAAAAACTTCAGCACTAAAAGCTGAAGTTTTGAAGAACCAATATCCATCTTAAAAGCACAAATTGTATTGATATGGACAAGTGTAACATTAACCAGTTTTTACATCAAGAAATTTTTTAGTAGCCAGCGAGATGTGAGGAACAATCAAGAATTCAGCTTTTGGAATCAAAATTAACCAACATACAGAGGAATCATGTCATTTAATGTAACGATCCGACTGGTCGTTTTGAGCAATTGCACCTGGTTCAGCAGTTTGAGGTCAAGAGCAACTTCACATTATGTATATCGACTTGTATGCATGGTTGGATTCAGATTTCGAATGAATCAGAGTCAAATTGAAAACAAGGAATATAGTTCTGGAAGCTTAAGCAGAGAGAATTTGACTGGAATTTGACTTTTGAGTAAATGACTTCGGAATGAGTTTTAGATGATGTCAGTAGCTTCGTATGGTGATTTTGGACTTTGACTTGTGTTCGGATTTGGATTTGTAGGCTCGTAGGGTAATTTGAGGCATGTTGGTGAAAGTTGGAAAAGTTAAAGTTTGGAAAATGAAGAGGTTTGACCTATAGTTGACTTTTATGTTATCGAGGTAGGAATGCGATTCCGAAAGTTGAAACATCTTCATTATGTAATTTGGGCCTCGCCTGCAAAATTTGGTGTCATTTGGAGTTGATTTGATTTGGTTCGGACGCTTGGTTGCAATTCTAGAGATTCTTAAAGTTCATAGTAATTTTCATGCATTTGGGCATCTGATTCTTGGTCTTAGAGATGTTTTAAGTGATTTGGAAGTGGGACTAAGTTCGTATAATGTTATGGGATGTGTTGGTACATTTGGTTGAGGTTCCGGCGGCCTCAGATGAGTTTCGAGATGAGTTTTGAGCGAGTTCGAACATTTCGGCACTCGGAAGTTGTTACGGATTGTGTGAGGGGGGGGGGAGCATGGACAGTGGTAAATCATCACCCCAGAGCCAAAAGGACTACTGTCAGCGGTGATATTTTGCTGCAACAATGGAATTTTTGCGGTAGCGGAAAATGGTCCGCGGTGAAGAAGAATCCGCAGGTTCACTGGTCTGACTTCGGAAGTCTATATCTTTTGATCTATAAGGAATTTTGAGATGATTCAAAAATAAAAGTTGTAACTCTTCGTGTCTAGTTTCCAAAAGGTTAAGGAAATCACAATTTGGACATCAGTAGAGAAAGTTATGTCCAAAATACTAAAGTATGTCACCTCATTCAACATTCTCTGCAGTAGCGGTGGATTTACCGCGGTCAGCGGTGGTTTTTTGCGGTCAGCAGTGATGGAAATCTGTGAGGTTTACTATAAATACAAGTTTTAGGGTTTTATTTCATATTTTGTCCTAGAGAACTCGAATTTTGGCAATATTTCGAAGGTTTTTCAAGAAATTCATCGGGGTAAGTGATTCTATCTCGGATTTGGCTAAAATATATGAATCTATCATTGAATTCATCGTTTTATTCGTGATTTGGGATGGAATTTGGGAAAAATTGTGAAATCTTTCAAAAATGTAAAATGATGATTTGAAGGACCAAATGGTATCGAAATTGGATAATTTTTGTATGGGTGAACTCGTATCAGAATGTGTATTCAGTTTTTGTAAATTTTGTTGGGTTCTGAGGTGCAGGCCTGGGGAGTTGACTTTTGTTGACTTGTTGCAAATTATATAAGAATCATAGTTTGATTAATTGAAATTGTTTTCTCTTGCATTATTAGATATATTCAAGTCATTTTTTGGCTAGATTGAGCCGATCGTTGATGAATTGGTAAAGGAAAAGCTAAATTGAGTATTGAATTAGACAGATTGAGGTACGTATCTTGTCTAACCTTGTGTGGGGGACTTCCCCTTAGTATTTGAGTCTTCTATGCTAATTGTAGTCCGTGCATGCGAGGTGACGAGTGTGTGCTCAGACTTATTTGTGGGAAATTTGCCTCTAGGGTTCTTAGGTCCTTATATTCATTATGTGGGAAGTATCCCGTTATGGTTTGGTTTCCTAATTGCTTAAATTATCTCTATATGCTCCATATGATGTTATTAGTTTTCCTCTAATTCGTACGTATTACTTGACCCTTAATTGTCTTAATTGAAGTGATTGCCTTCCTTATTGTTTTGATACTTCTTAATTGTGAGTTTCCTTTATGACTTCGTGTAAACATGCTACATGTCCAATTATTGTGGTTATCAGTGTAGTTATCACGTGCTTATTATGTCTGGTTGTTTTGTTGAGGTTAGCGTGCTTCTTGGTTTTTCCGTGATCCTTATTATGTACTATTCTTGTTTAAATTGATGATTATTCATATCGAACAAGACTTATGACATTCTCTTGATAATTGTCCATTGTTGAGTATTGAATCGAGTTGAGATCTATATTGCGAAGCTAACTGTTGAAACATGATTGGTTATTGTTGATTCCCTTGCCGGAAAGTTATTGGTTTTATTGTTGATTCCCTTGCCGGAAAGTTATTGGTTTTATTGTTGATTCCCTTGCTGGGATATTATTGTTTCTATTGTTGATTCTCTTGCCGGGATGTTATTATTTCTATTGTTGATTCCCTTGCCAGAATATTATTATTTCTATTATTAACTCCTTTGTCGGGATATTATTGTTCATATTATTGACTTCCTTGTCGTGATGTTATTGTTTCTATTGTTTGGGTGAGAAAGAGTATAAAACACGAAGGGTGATGTCGTGCATGATATTGTGAGAGAGAGTTAAAGCACGAAGGGTGATGCCGTGCACATTTCTATTTATGCATATTGTGAGGAAGAGTGTAAAAGCACGAAGGGTGATGTTGTGCCACATTATTGAGAGTAAAAAATGTCGTGCCACATTATTGAGAGTAAAAGCACGAAGGATAATACCGTGCATGATATTGTGAGGAAGATTGCAAAGCACGAATGGTGATGTTGTGCACAAT